TTTTTTTTTTTTTTTTTTTTTTTTTTTTTTTGGTACCGGGAATTGAACTCTGGTCCTTGCAATTGCAAGGCAGGCCACCAAACTGCTGAGCTAAATCCCCGGCCCATATGACTTTTTAACCATCATATTTTAAAGAAAAATATCGATTTTTCCCCTTGTTTTAGCTGTGTATGCAATATTCATCAAGTGATAATGAACTATATTCTCAGAGATATATTTAAATAAGCAGAAGGCCGAAGATAAGAAGTTTTTAGTGACTAAAAGGTTCAGAAATGAACCTTGATATCACTGCTGGAAAACAGTCTTGACCCAATATCAAATTCTCATTTTTAATTTCTGTGTGACCTGATTTTTACATATTTAAAGTAGCTTGGTGGACCAAACAAACTATAGATTTTAAAGTCAAATAGAAGAGGGTTAAATAGAAAACAGGGAGAAGTTCATACTTCCCCATATCATATATTTTGTTATTTTAAAAATATTTCAATATATAAGCTAACTTGTTTAATTTAAACTACAGTTGATATTAGTTTGTTGAAAAGAAAGCATGTGCTGTTTCATTTTTGTAAGAATCTTTGGATTTATGCCTTGTATTGAGTAACTACTTTGAAGATAACAATATATTGTAATAATCATTGTTTTATCTTATTGTTCGCTTATGAAAATTTGTTTTATTTTTTCATAAATTAAGAAAAAAATCAAAAAAGAATGAACACATATTAAATGTTATGATTTGCATAAAAAGAATTATTTTCTCCAAGTTCTGTTGTTGGTAAGATTTCCTTACAAAAAAAGAACCCTATAATTCTTCAATGAAGAGAAATAGTTTCTGCTTCAGACTAATGTGTGGGAACTCGTATAGCCACATGGGAGTTATATAACCATAGAGACAAGGGGATACCAACTGGGAGTACGTGTGGACTCCAGAAAAAAAACACTGTTCAATGCATTTTGTCCTTCCTGTCTCCAAGGAAAGATAAAGTAATAATAGATGATTAATTAGAATTACTGAAAACTTTTTCATAGTTCAATGAAACTAATATATTTTATTTCTTTCACAGTCTTCATGAATGCAGCAATTCCCATAGCAGCCGTTCTTGCTGTAAGATGCTTTCTCTTGCTTTTAGAAATGGGAGCAAGTCAGTGTGTATAAATGATTTATGAAAAAGAACATGTGGGTGGTAGTATATATTGCTTCATTTCTGTTGTTCCTTCTTGGCAGTTTCCATTGCACTTTTTCTAGACCAGGATTTCTCTTTCATGACACAATGAACACCTTGGCCAGATAATTTTTTTTCATCATCACAGGGTATCCTAGCATTAGGGTGTTTTCCAGCTTTCATGGCCTCTATCTACTCCCAGTCATGACAATGAAAAATATCCTCAAACAATGGCAAATGCACCCAGGGAGAAGAACTAAGAATAGTTGAAAAGTAACTGTTTTAATCTCAGTGACCTGTTTTCCATACATTTTTACATCATGGTGCTAGATCGACAACTGGAAAATGGTAAATAATTAGGTTATATTTTACACTAAAGGACAGACACAGCCACTGGCATTATTTTTAGAAATGTGACTAAGTCTTCACATTTCTGTGTGCAGGTTAGTAATCTGCAGTAGGGACACTTAAGTAACAGAACATTCCCTTTTCTCTTAGAATATTAAAGTATTGTTGATTGCAAAGGCCTGACTGGCTGTGAAGAACTGTGAGTTCTCCATCTAGTTATTTCCCTGCTTAGTAATTTGACAGAAGTCGGTTTCTTATTCTGTGTATAGCATCTGTCCTGACTTTCTTATCAGTTTCCTGCTAGGGTGACTTTTCCAGCATTAAGAATGCACCAATAGTAAGTGTGGCGTTAGGTAAGGTGTTTTGGATAAAGGAGTTGTTTCCATAGTTGCTATGGACCTATGGGCACAGAGGGAGCTGCGAGGGTTAGGTTTGTAAAAATTAATGTAGAGACTGTCTCTGGCTTTTTCTAAAGCAGCCCTTTCTTTGTGCAGACATTTGTGACCCATGCTTATGCCAGCAGCCACCACCTCAAGCCTGCAGAGGCCTTTGCCTCTCTGTCTCTCTTCCACATCCTCGTCACCCCGCTGTTCCTGCTCTCCACGGTGGTCAGATTCGCCGTCAAAGCTATCGTAAGGTATGCACTGAAATCTCCGGAGTGCTGTCTTACTGATTGTAGAAATAATATGTGCGTCCTGGTGGTACATTTGGAAAAGTAAAAAAGAGCATTCACATCACTACCCAGAGATGACCATTGCTAAGATTTTGGTATGTGAACTTTCAGTCCTTTATTTCATATAATAATAACTACTGTAAAATAAAGATGTTGAATTTATGTAGCTTTTGACTCTTTATTTCACTTATTGTTTTCATTATTTTCTCATGACTGGCAATGTGATAGAACATTGTTTGGAATATATTAATTTATGAATTGCCTTTTTATGGGATATTTAGAACATTTCTACTTAATATACATAATAATGAAGTAAATATCTTTGCACTTTTCTCTGATGGTTTCCTTAAGTCCAATTTTAGAAGTTATGATACTAGTTTTAGTAGTACACACATCTTTAGGGTTTTTAAAGAATATAGCATTGTTGTTTGGCACTGAAATGGTAGAAGGTCAAACAGTATCTATATAGTTGGGATTATTTATGATAGGGACATAATGTTTTCCATTGAAACCTTGCCAATTTATATGTGCCTCACAGTGACAGAAAATTTTTATACCAACACATACATTCTGTTTTAAATTTAGTTTACCATGAAAAAAGAAACTTTAAAGTTATAGTCTCTGAAAATGGAAAGGCTTGCCAAAAATTTCTAGTATTGTGCTCATTTAAGTATGCTTGCATAGTGTTCCCAATCAATAGATTTGTTTCATTGAAAAATTTCCATAATGTACAGCTATGTAATAGACATGAGATGATAATGGCCCTTCCCCTGCCATTTTTATTTGTATTCTATAAATATGTTACCAGACCATGTCTACCTCTACATTGTGTGTATCATGACCTACCAGTGCCTTAGAATCTATTAAAAACAAAAAGGCTTCAGAGTACTATTTTGCTTTTGGTTATATGCTCTTTACAAAGCTTATAAAACCTCAAAAATGTTTCCTGAACATTCATCATCATTTATCTGACCTTTTAAAGAAATGCCTAAATATTGCATCACTAAAGGAAAATAGGAGAACCCGTGCCTTAAATATATGAAATAGGATGTCGCTATTGACAGCAATCTAGAATGTCTGTAGTAATTGTCTTCGAATGACATAATTTTTCCAGTATCTATTATATATTAATGAAAAAAATGAGTATTTAATATTCAAAACACCAGAGTCTCCAGTTTTAGGCAATATTTCACATTGACTTACCAATGGTTAAGGCCCGCTAAAATGAAAATGCATAAACACTGTCCTGTTGTGAATGAAGTTCTGCTAGGCTATGATGGTGTCATGACATAGCTTCCATCCTGTTCTCTGAGTGAGGTCATTAGTAGCATTTCAGAAGCTTGCTTCAGTGGAAAGCCCAGGCCCTCTGGCCTCATCTGCTCTGTTTTCTTTTCTTATTGTTCTGCCTTCTGAAGCCCTTGCATATTGGTCCATGACTGCACTGTGTAGCACTGCTTCCAAATTAGGCAGTGCTCTGGAAGGAACGATACTTCAAACAATAAACGTGATAAATGGCCAGAGTCTGCTATTTTGGTCCTTATTTTCATTTTCCCCATTTAACAGCTATCCCTTTCATGGTTGCGCTATTAATTGGAATGTGATTTTGTACTGCAAGGGGAGATAAAAAGTAGTTGATAGCTTTTAACAGATAATTCCTCTGAAACTGTACATCAAAAGAACTTTCAGTGGGTTTTGAAAACAGTACAATCTAGGGGTTTTCCCTGAATCCATAGGACACATTTCTGCTGTAGTAAATCCTACTGTAGCAGAGGGCAGATAAAATCCCCTGTGTATTTCTGCACAGCGCTCTCCCTGCTGTACATTTCAGGGAAAAGGCATTTGCCAGTTTGATAAAGACCAGTTTGTTCTTAGGGCTCAGTTCCAGGTTTCAAAAGCCATAGGCCAAGTGGAATCTGCTTTTAAAAGCTTGCTTCTCTAAAATGACTTGCAGCGGTTGATTTGCGGGTCCTACAGAGATGGCTGATCAACAGAGAAAGCCAGTCATTTTTCCCACTGTGTGCCAGTTCTGGGAACCCAAGTAAGCATTTTCCCAGTCTTGACTGGGCTGGACATTTTCTTCCATGCCTGGGAACCCGTGACCAGTCTTTGGTGCCAGTTGGCCCACAGTGAATCCAGCGGTTTGTTTATAATCAGAGGCTTTGGTCAGCTGATTTTGAGATCTCCTTTTTAGGACTGTAGAAGTCTTAAATTCTTCACTGCATTTTTAAATGCATTCAGAAATTTGGTGGGTTAGAATGGGCTGAAGCCATATTCCTAAATGTGCTTCGTACATGTACCTAGGAAACTTGGACTCTTCCCTACTGGAAGAAAACGCCATTCCGTGTAAAATTCTCTACTTCAGGAAAATTCTATGCTTTCTCTAGAAAACGTTTAGATCATTAGCTAAAGTTGTCTTTGTGGCATTCATTGAATGGGAGCTACATATATATACATATATATGTATATATATGTATAATATGTCATGTGTAATATATTGTATAATATGTGTAGTATATTTCATATATAATATATTGCATGTAATACATAGTGTGTAATATATAATAAAATATACCCAAGATATTATACAATGAAGAGATATAAAATGGAATATATTGAATATAAAATAGAAAAATAAATATAAAAATAAAAAGTATCTACTTAAAATATCCCCTGTATATTTTATTATATACTCCTACCCAATGAATGTGGCAAAGAACCTGAATCATGTTTGCTCTTTTTTTCAAACCTGAATCATATTGGCTTCTTGTCTCCTCACAACCCATGGCACCCCACACCATCTGAGCTTCCTGGACATTCTGTGATGTAGCATTGTAGTCCATATTTGCAAGAAAGATAGAAGAAAATTCAGTACTATTTTAAAAATTTAAATACTTGAATAAGAATTGTTTTTGTTTTTTTTTTTAGGATGATTACCTTCTCCACTTTGCATTATTAGGAAAAAATTTATGTGTTTGGCTTTTCTAGAGGAAAAGATATTGTATTCCTTACAGATAATTTAAATATAGGCATGTGGTATTTGGTGTCTAATGTAGTATCTATGTCAAAGATGTTATTTGTCTGGTCCAGGGATTTACCTCAGTGGTTCCACCACCTTCCTTGCAAGCACAAGGACCCAAGTTTGATCCCTGGTACAAAAAAAAAAAAAAAAAAAAGATGTTATTTGTTAAAGGAAAAAAATAAATCCCTCATTTTGTTGGGAAATACCCTCATGTCCTTACTCCTATGTACCTTCCAAGAGAATCTGTGCTTGTCTGACCTGCTGCATTACCTTCAGTAGATACATTGTTACTGAAATTTGTCATACAACATACTTACATTTTGGTTTTCTCTCAGTATTTTAGTTTACAAAATTCATAATTCTTATAATATATTATATATATATATAATTGCAGCCTAGACTACATTGTGAGACCTTGTCTTTCAACAACAAAATCAATGATTCCTAATTAATACAGCACCTCTTCTGTATACTCACACACATAGTGTATGTTAAACACACAGAATAAAATTTAACAAGCCAGAAAGTGGCATGAATAAATAACTAAAATATTAAATTCTTTTGACAATAATCTAAACAAATGAGAAGTTAGTAAAATACTGAACTATAAAGGGAATGGGGGCAGCATAGCAAATTGACTAGTGTCAAATACACCTGTTTGCAAATTCTGGCCAGAGGGTGATCGTGGTTCAACCTCAAGCATGTTTTTTGGGGGTCTTGGCATCTTCACTTGTCAAATGAACCTAATAATTGCACTTGCTAATAGCGGTTGAGGAACAAGAAAATCCATAAAAGTATCCAGAATATTGTCTAGATTTTTTAGGTATTTTTACAGTTTTCTCTTTTACTGATTTACCAGCCTTTTGCTCGCTTCCATTCCATTCTTGAGAGCATCTTTGTTGGGTCTGTATTCATTTCTCTTGCTTCAGATACATTGCTAGGCATTAGTAATGGAAAAGGTGAAAGCTCGAAACGCATAAAGAGCTCCCAGTCTTGTTGGGGAGACCAGGAAAGGCAGATGGTTTCAATATGTTGTTATAAAGCTATACAATAGGCTGGCTGAGCATAGTGATGTGTCTCTGGAATCCCAGCACTGAAGGCTGAGGCAGGAGAATTTCCATGAATTCGAGGAAAGCCTGTGCTATATAGTGAGACAGTGTCTCAAACCAATCAACCAACATATCAACAAACAAAAGATATAAAGCTGTACAACAGAATACCATGGGCCCATAAATATGAAGGTGAAGGAAGCAGTAGCTCTTTCCTAGACTTGTAAAGAGTAAGTTAGACTCTGTCTGTTGGAGGAAAAAGGAAAAACATTTTATCAGAGAGAGCAAAAAAGCAAGGGAAAGGGATGAGTAAAGTAAAGAGATGAGAACTCTCAGTATGTTAAAGGGACAAAAAAGTATTTCTGTGTTGGTGAAAAAAAAGATTATGATATAGAAAGTACTTGGGAATAAAGATGAAATGTAAAATACTGATCAGCTTTTAGGTGAAAAACACTGATCAGCTTTTAAACGATAAAAGATGATGAAAGGCAAAGATGCCATTTGTTATCTTAAGAAAAAGATTGTTCCATGAATATATTTGCATTTTAAAATTATAACCCTGGCAAAGTGGTAGAAATTGCTGCACCCTTGGACAGGGTTTGTGCATGTTCCATAATTGTTTTGCCTGTATGATTCCTGAAAGGAACTCAAATGAACAAGAAATGCTCTTTGTATTATCCACTTATTCATTCACTAGACATTTCTAGAGGAATTACTATGTTTTAGATATTGAGCTAAATTCTGAAAATGAAAATCTTTGCTCTTGAGTTCATAGTGTCACATCAAAGATAGTAACTAACAGTTAATAAAGCAATGACAGAATAGGAATGCGAAGGAATCTTTGACCAGTGAGCCTTAGGAAGAGGAGAGGAGAGGTTTAGAAAAGGGCTGGTATTAGAGGTCCATCTATATTCATTGTTACTGAAGTTCCGAAAGGGGAGTTACACTTTTGAATAGCTCTCTCTACTGTCAGTTAACCTGACAGATCATTGCTTTCTCATGCTTGGCAAGAATGGCCCTCACTTATTCCATAAAAATTTCAGGAAGATCTGCGTATATACTACAACAGTGAAATGGAGAACTGAACCAACCAACTTTAACATCTGAATCATTAGTCTATTTCTTCGATTCATTGAACAAGCATTCACAGGGCAGTGTGTGCCAGGCACTGCAGGACTTGAAGCTACAAAGGCAGAGGAGGTTAGCCACTGTATGTTCCGTGGTCTAGCATGAGGTTGTTAAAAAGTGTGCCTTTCATTGACAAAGCTGTGCTCCTCAAAACCACAACCCCTCAAAACGAAAGAGCAGAATAACCAGTACAGTCTGGAGTATCTGCTCTTTGAGGCCAATAAAATACCATTTCTTAAGGCACCTCCATTGCTGTGTCTTTGAAGTCTTTATGGTCAGACTTTGCCGAGGAAGACTAACAGAGCTCTTTTACACATCAAAGCTCTTCTTAAACAATTCCCTCGTTTAGTTCCCTGGAAGAGCAATTTAGAAGCTAATTGTTAGACTGCTCCAGAGCGGGTTATCTGCCTTTGTGTTCTGACCCCACAGAGGCAAAGTTCTAAAGATCTTGAGCAACGAGCTGAACTAAATTTATTTTATTAGCATGTCACAAAAACTTACCAGACCTATTTAGAGGCACTGAACTTCCCTAAATCTCAAAGGAAATTTTAAAAATGTAAAAATAGAGTTTTTCCTTTGAGTATCTATTTTCTAGCATTCCATCAAAGGCAGTGCTTCCCTACAATCGATGCATTATCCACTGAGAGCATTTCTTTTCCTTTGCCACTTTATTGAATTGTTTTTAGTGTGTTATTTTACTGATAGGAGGATGACCGTATTATTGATTTTTTTTTTTTTTGCTTATTTTTGCTCCTCATCCTATGAGAACTGTTTGAGAAAATTAGTTTGAGAGATATGGGCCAAAGTATCTTGGCCTGGCCCAAGGAGACCATAGTAAAGAACATTTAAAAACTATTCTTCCAGAGTAGAAGCTTAGAAACTATCACATGTTCCTGAAGCACTTCTGGATATTGTTAACATGTATACTCTTAGTTACATGATAAAATGATTTTAGACAGATTAGTTAGCTACACCTCAATTCCCCTCTAAACAATTGTAAGAATATCTCTTTCATTGGTATTATTATTATTTGTTACCATCCTATTCTAAGCTTCTATCCAACTCTTCCATCTTTGACAAGAAATGTAATTGCAAAAAAAAAAAAAAAATGTGAAGGAATTTACACTGAGTTTAGGATGACAAATGTCCTGGTGGTTTTCCTGAGATTTTTCTAGTGTTAGTAATACTAAAAACCTTATGTCCTAAGAACCATCAAGTCCTCCGCAATTCAGGATGTTTGACAACTAGCTGATTTCCAGATAGTATGGAAAAGGAGCTCTCAGAAACAGCCTGCTCACCAGGATACCTAGTAGGGTGAAGGTTTGCTTGTACAAGTAGAATTTTTGTTGGTGGCAATTCTATTGCTGATCCTTATTCTGTGTTTGTTTCTTTGTATTTTGCAGCGTTCAAAAGCTGAATGAGTTTCTCCTGAGTGACGAGATAGGTGATGACAGCTGGCGAACCGGTGAAGGTTCTCTGCCTTTTGAATCGTGTAAGAAACACACAGGAGTTGTAAGTCAGTTTCTTGCTATGAGATCTGTAAGGGGTCAGTCTCAACAGAATGGATGACTTAATATGGCCACAATCAGAAGAGATCATAAGCTTTATCATTTAATCTATACAAGGAGAAATTGCCATCTGCTCCTATAAAACTCTAAAACCAACAAACAAATATATGATTTGTTCTTATAAATCATAAAAGAATTATCCCAAAAGGGATGTTACATGTTCAATTTCAAAAGGTGATTCAGAGTTTACTTTCTCCAAGCTTTTTTTTAAATACAATAAGCCTACTACTACTGTTCCATATTCTTATCTTTTAGTTATATAATGCCTTTTTAGTTTAAAGCATGTTTTCTGATGCATTATATATTTTGGTCCATTTAATATAATACTTTGTTCTTATTTTCAGCTGAACATGTTAAGTTTGCATGCTTGAGCAATTTGAACAAAGTTGTAAGATCATAAAGGGACAAAACCAGAATTAAAATCCACCTTGTAGTCAGTTCATTCACCCTGACACATATATTTCCTCAGTATCTACAGAGTCTGAAAGAATCAATAGTATATTGACATGTTATATAAATATATCTGATTTTCCAGACTTATTATATTTTGTTTCACAACCTAGGGATAGAACTATGTTCAAGGCACATGAAATCTTCCATGTCACAAGCTATTTTCTTGAGGCAGGAGTCAAGTGATACACAAAAGAATAAGATAATTTCACTGTGTGAAAAAAAATAAGGAGGATATTAGAGATGGAAGGGGACATTCAAAACAGGGTAGATATTTGCCAGAAGGTCCCTCTGGTCAGCCAGCATTTAGCTGAGACCTGAGTAGAGAGTAGGTATCTGCCCTGCAAAGGGACAAGGCAGATGAGGAAGAGCATTCTTGTCAGGAGGGTTGGCAAATGCAGAGAACTTGAAGTAGTAATCAATTTGGTTTATTTAAGGAACAAAGGGGCAGTACTGTGAAGAAAAGAAATATGAGACAAGGTAATAACAATGATTTAGGGTATTGAAGACCATGGAAAGAGTTTGAATTTTATTAACAGGCAAAAAGAAGTCATGGGAAAGTGTTACAGTAGAATAATTTTGTTAATTTTTTAAAAGATCACAGTGGTTACTGCATGGAGAGGTGAACGGGGAAAAGAATGGGTCAGCAGAGAAGTCATTATAGTAACATGGGGCAAGAGATGATGATGTTACAGTTAGATTTTTGTTGCATGTGGGCATTGTGAAGAAGTGATCAAATTTAATGTATGATGTTGAGCTAATAAAGACTCACTGAAATGTTGGATGGAGGAGGAGATGAGGAAGGGAGAAGACTCAAGGATGGATCCGAGGACATTGGCTTGACTGCTGGTAGACAGTGGAGCCATTAATTGAAGTAGGGGTGTGAGAATCGAGGAGATTGGTGTTGAAGAAGAATCAAAGGATATATTTTGCTTATGATGATTTTGAAATGCTTATTGGCACCCAAGAAGTGATATTAGAATTGGAACGTAAGTTTATGAGTTGTCAACCTTAGATAATATTTAAACCAATGGGACTGAATACACCCTGTTTTAAAAGGGTGTGTCTGAGGGAATTTTTCAAAGTAATATATATTTCATAGCAGTAAAGTAGAAATCAGCTAATCCAACAGGAATCCAACAAGTTATTATTAGCTATTCATGTAAGGGTTGGAAAAATTTGAGCATATCTGCCCTGTATGTGACCCAACAAAAGTGCTCATGCCTTCTGCCCAGAGTTGAGCGGAACTTGGAGAGCTTTGACAAGGAAGTCGATATATATTAAATTTTTCTTCACATTATGCTTAAAGCTTCTCAAAATAGTTCAGATGGACACTTGGCTATATTTAGAGTTACCAGTTTCTTTTGCTTTTCAGACTTAAAAAAGAAAATCTTTTCAATTGTTTTATTGAGCAGCTGTGCCTCATCAGAGAAAGAGCTACCATCCATGTTTGTCCACACCGCTGTCAACCGTGCCTCAGAATGCTTGCCTGAATTGCATGAGTGCAGACATAGTACAGAAATGAACGCTTTAAAGGGTTTCTGCACTTTTAGGCAGTGGGAAAGTCAACTCTTTGATTAGAGGTACCCTCAAACATGTTGCTTGATCTTAGTCTACTGAGCAGCTCATTAGATCATCTTTCAGAGGTACGAGGGTGAACAGAGAGAGATGACCTCAAGGAAGAAGATTCAGAGGGAGTTCACAGAGTTAGGGGAATCTGAATGACTTTTTGTATGAGATGAGGGATAGAAGAAATATTGAACTGAGAAAAGGCTTTTGGAAGAAAAAAGAATCCCCTTCAGATGCACCCAATATCTTCAGGGTTATTGAAACCAGACTGGACTTCTGATGTCTTTCGGGGTCATTCATCACTGCTGATGGGCCAAACCACAAACGACAAGCTTTTTTAACATGGAGTGAAAAAAGCTGTGTGTTTGAAAATAACACTAATGGAAACTCCTTCTTGAGAGTGCTTAAGATGCTATGTATTCTGTAAAAGTTTCGAGTTAAGTGGTTTTGGCTGTAGAATCTCCATGGAGAATTAGTGACATTCTAGAGCCAAAGTCTCTTCAAATTACATCTGTGCAACTCCAACTCAAATCTCTGTCAACACATCTCCTCTTCCCACCCTCTCCTCAATTTTGTGATGAGCATGAAGTCATTGCTTTTGGACCTCTGGGGGCAATACTATTATAGCGTTAAAGGCTCTAAGTAGACGGTGAAGCTATATAGGTATAGGCTTGTTTGGATAGGAAATATGGTGAAGAATATCCTTAAATACACACATCTTGACTAACGGTGGCTTTTCTGCAACATCTCATGCAGTGTACTTCTGGGGCTCTCTATCAGGGCTATGGGAATAAAAAGCAAAACTAAAATAAAATTTTGAACACACACTCACATTCTCTTTTTTCAGTTAAAATGTTCTTAGTATCTTCTGTGTGACATAACCATTAATAGTGCTTTTGATTTTCTTAGTGGCTTTGTCTGTATTATTTATGAAGCCCAGAATAATACCATTTGATAGTTTGATGTTCTGCTGAGTCAATAATTGATAGAAATTGGAAAAACAGTATCTCGTTTGGATTAAATTACTGATTATTTGAAGACATTCCTAATTCCCGTAGTAGAATTCAGTGGACTTTTTCGAAAAGCTAAACCTGTAATTCTTGGCCAGAATTTGTTTTCAAAGTTTCACAATTCTAGAGTCCTTTGCTTTTCTAGGTAATTTAGCAGTGTTAAAGAATTATAATTTAGTGTTAATAACCTCTATAAGATATTTAAATAAGGCAGATAATTATTTATGTTGAAATATTTGTTTCCTGGGTTCCTGGAACAAATTTTAAACTTTCAAATTCTTCCAAATGGGAAATTTACAGGACTAAATTTTCTATCTTCTCTTTAGAAATTTCTCTCTCTCTCTCTTTCTCCCTCTCTCTCTCTCTCTCTCTCTCTCTATATATATATATATATATATATATATGAAATATATATATATATGAAATTAAATATATATATATATATGAAATTAAACTCAAAATTAGAAAGTGTGAATTTTCCACTTATGACCTAATTTATGTTTACTAAACTATAGGAAGACTGTCTCAACAGCTGGCTTCATCTATCAAATGGATGCTTCAATCAGTCAATTAGGAATAGCACTTTAACATTTGAGGTAGCCTAGATCATCCTATGATATTTATGGATCTCCTTATGAAACACTATGCATCTTTGTACAGAAATCCAAGCCCTTTGCTTTTGCCAGTCTGCAGTAGATCCTTGGGGGATTCATAGCTCAATCTGATTTGTATAAGTATATCAGATTCAGACTCCTGATGATTCCAAGGATAATCAATAATGTACTGGTGGAATGTATATAAGACCGATGGATCTGACAAATGGAATTAATTTAACCTGAGTTAATCTGACTCTTTGATAGGACACGGAATTTTATATTCCCTAAATATACTCATCCATATAGCTGGAGAAAAATATGTAATACCTAGTTTGGAACACAGTACTTGAACTTTCATCATTTGCAAGTATTAATGTTCATGTTTTCATTTTTCCACGTGAAGCTGGTAAATTAGGCTCAAAATTAGATCTCAGGATTTTTTCATTATTTGCTTTTTAGGAAAGCATTGAAAATATTGAAATATGACATTCACTTTACTTCTTTTTCTGGGAATTTAAGTGAAGTAGCAATATGAGTTAATGTTTAGTAAACTCTCAAGGTTTTTTTTTCCCATAAAGCTTCAACTTGTGTCGTTTTCTATTTGGAATGCTGCAGCCCAAAACTATAAACAGGAAACAGCCTGGAAGATACCACCTGGACAGCTATGAGCAATCGACACGACGTCTTCGTCCCACAGAGACAGAAGATATTGCCATAAAGGTTATTTTATTTCCTAGATTCTTACATGAATGGAAACATATTACTCTTTGTACCAGTCAGTTATCTCATTGCTGGCGAAAAGTACCTGATGCCCACAGATTAAAGGAGAAGAGGTTCGGTTCATGGTTACAGAGGGTTCTGTCCGTGGTAACCTGGCTCCAGAGCAAACCTATCATGGCAGAAGGGTGTGGTAGAGCAAAGCTGCTTCCTCCGTGGCTCTGGGCAGCCAAGTACAGGGCAAATGTGTCAGAAGGGAAGGGGCCAGGAGCCACATAGAGTACCCAAGGTCACGTCCCATGACCCACCATGACACACCCAAAAGTATGCTTTCCTAATTCCCTAGGCATATCTCAAGCCAACTGAGTTGACAGTCATGATTAACAGTCATACCCGTGATTGTCCTCAATGAGAGTCTCTTTACAGTGGTCACAGTCTTCATAGCATGTGACAAGTACTCTGATGCAGAAATCTTCTCAGTCTTTCCTCACCTTTCAGTCACCAGTACATCACTCTAATTGGAGAGGAAGGCTTTCACTTGAATCTCTGTAAGAAGCTAGTATCCGAGCCGCTTCCTCTTGCTACTCTTACATAAATGGATGAATAGAGAACACCAATATTATAAATCCAATCTTTAAGGAAGTCAATTAGGTAGTAATTGTTTGCCAACCGGAAAGGCTGAGGCCAATGTTGTATTTTCTGTGCAGCCTCCTAGTACTCTGCACTGCCTTGATCTGATTTCAGACTCAGTCTCTTGTGGTCTCCCCAGGCGTTTGTGCTTACGTAAAACTTGGGTAGAATAAGCACCCACAGGAACGTAGCTGGGGGCTGATGATAGTGACACTGAGCTGTGGTTTGCCCACCTTCACATGCCATTTAAAGACACTTGTTTTGAGTATAAAATGATGTAAATCTTACAGAGAGTTCTGGTGATTCTCAACTCTAGCTATACATTAGTCAACCAGAAAGCTTTTAAAATGTAGTCAGGAGACCTGGGCATCATTTTAAAAATGTGTTTTGTGACTATTTCCTAGGTGGTTAGAATGTTCAAGCAGGGTGTGACCTACTGGGCTGAGGAAAGGTTAAGAATGAGATTCTAGAAAGAAACCACTATATCATTGTCCCCAAAACACACCCGGATAACAACTAAATAGAAGGGAGTAGAAAAAAGGACTAGGTTTTGTTGTTGTTGTTGTTGTTGTTGTTGTTGTTGTTGTTGTTGTTGTTGTTGTTTTTGGCACCAGGAACCAAACTTAGGATGAGGCAGGTGGTGGCACCATTGAGCTACATCCCCGGCCCAAAAGGGGCTAGCTTTTAAAAATTATTATTTGGAATTTTTGGTTTAGTACAGTGTGGATCTAAAAGCATGTCTTTTTGTTTTTATTTTGAAGGTAAAAAACAAAAAAGGCTGTCACCATTTTTAATTTTTTTCAAAATTGACCCTTTTACACACCGAAAATAAAAATGAATCTGAAATTAAAGACCTGTTTACCTTTGCCCCAGAAGTTACCGTGCCTCTGAATAGCCACCACTCTTTCAGGCTCATCTGCAAGCCTGAATATTTTATTTATGGTGAAAGCCCTCAAGGTAGTAATAGCTTATTTACCTTTTAAAAATATGTCTTATTGTGAAATACAGAATACAGGAGAAAAGTATATGTTTACATTGCCAGCTTCCCCAGGAATGTCCAGCACATAGCTTCTCCTGCCTTGTTCTGGACATGTGTTTGCCACCTTGACTTTTACATTTTCTTGGCTGTCCATAGTATGCATGCCTCTCTTTCTCACCAAAAAGTCATGGTTTTAGTTTTTTTGTAAGTTTGAATGGGTGTTGCATGTGTGCATTTTGCTCTCTGAGGCCAACTATTACACATGTATAATTCATCTGTGTTACTGTAGGGAGCATGCAATTCATTGATTCGCATTGCTGCATGATATCCCATCGTATAAATATCCCAGAACTTAGCGATCTATTCTACTCTTCTTCGTGGCTTTGGGGTATTTTCCAGTTTGGATCCATTGTGAGTAGTTACTGAGTTGCAGGATGCAGGCATCCCCAGCTTTCTTGGACAATGGAAAACTATTTTCTGAAGTGATTAAGCCAGTTTACATCTCTGCTACTAGTGATTTTCCCTGTATCCCTGATCCTCCTTTGTATCTATGCCACCCTGTCCCCTCCTGCCCACATAGCCTTTACAGCTCCAGCTCTTTCATGCATAAGATATATATTGAAATACATTCATGTCCTTGTAAGCTTTCAATTTTATTAAATGTATCTGTTCCTTCTGACTGAACCACTGAGTTGTGTGATATGCACTTTTGTGTTTTACTTGTTGCTATTGATGACCACAACTATCTGGGGCTGAGAGATTGAAAATTTTCGTTAGTCCATGTTTGTGGTACCTAATGATTGCATTCATTGCAGGGAGTTAGTGCCTTTGCATCACACACCTGAATTCTTGTTAGATCCCATTCGCATCTCCTGTCTTCCCCCTCCCTCTGAGAGCTGGAACTGAGCTTTAAACTTGCTTCTGTCTTCCCTCTGTCACCAGTTACTAGGATGGTGATCATTCATCCCATCCTTATATGAACCTGGGCAATGATTTATTTATATATCAGCTGGTTTTCCAACATCAAAAAAGTAGTTCTGGAAGCCAAGTAGTGGAACACTACTGGTGGAGAATGATTGTATTTTGTAGGAGGCAGAGGGGATGGAAGTGTAAATTGTAGCAGAAGATATTCATGTTAATCTTCTTCCTCTCTTTTGGGTGGAGATTTTTCCCTCTCTCACTTCTGTCTAGCACCAGATCACAAAGTCACGCTGTATTCTTCTAGTTCTTTCCTGCTGCTTTCAGATCGTGTCTTTCTCTCTCATACTCTGGTGAAGCTGTGGCATTTCTACGTCTCGCATCTATGATCTACGATCAGAGGACCCGTGAAGTGAGGAGTTAGTATCTGTTTGCTAGTCCATCCCACCTTTGCGTGTGACACACATTGATGTGATTTACACTGCCAAGTTCACAGTTTGCCTTCTGTTTCAGCCCAGAACTCCTCGATCTGTTCTCACTGCATTTGCACAACCTCTTGGATGTTCACACTCAGTCACCACCTGGAACTGTGCCCCTCTGAGATTATACTCTATTATCTCAATCAGTCACTGACTCAGCCTCCAAGCTTTCCCAGGCATTCACCTTTATGGCTATTGATGTATAACCTCATTGAAACCTCCAGTATCACAGCTCCTTCTCCTCCTCCTCCTCCTTCTTCTTTTTTTCCTTTCCCTGGCCCTTTAGTACCTTTCTGTAGCAAATAACCTCGTGGCTTCACCATGCTTGTACCCAGGCTGCTGAATACTAGGAAAAAAAGACACACGTAGCACAGCATAGCCACAGATTGACCGTCTCAGACTTCACTGACCCTCTGGTGTTCTTAGCGATCCTTTCCCATGCCTCTCATCAGCGTGACCTTCCAAGCCTACAGTAGCCACTCAGCTGTCACCACTGTCCTCTCACCTCCTGATATCTCTTTCCGAGCTGCCTCTCTCTGCAGCAGACTTTAGCTTGCAGTTCACCAAAGACATTAGGACAGTCACGCGGGGCCACTGACGGCTTCCTGCTGGCTCTCTTCCAAATCCAGCTGTTTCGCACCTCTCTTATGCTCCTTGCCTTCTCTGAGAGAAGAAGGGGGCCTCCACCTCTGAGGCTGTGTACTTTCTTGGAGTCCCATTTCTCATTTACCCACAGTATCTTCAACTTCTGCCCCAGCCAGCTCTGTTTCTTATTTCCCACAACACGTTTCACAGATTTCTGATCTTAGACCTGTTCTCACTGCAGTTCTTTACCGAGAAACGTACTTGGTGACATTCAGTATGTTTTCCAAAGCTATCTAAAAGGCCTCTTCTTCCAGAAAGGTCTTCACTCATCTCAGACATAACTGATTTTTTTTTCCTGAACTGTGTGTGTTAGTTCATACTTGGCCCATGCTGTCTTCTACGTACCAGTCATGTGCCACTTAATGACAAGATAAGTTCTGAGACATGCAGGCGTTTACCTTGACTACATCTCTGGTCCTTTTTTTTTTTTTTTTTTTTTTTTTTTTTTTTTT